ACATTTCTCACCAGGGCAGGTGGAAGGCCCTGGGTTCCACCCCCAGAATCCCAGCAAGCAAAGAGACAAAACGATTGCTTTTTATAACTTTACCCTTATAAACAATTATTACTAAAGCTATTTCAGTTTATCTGGTCTCTGCTTCACCATTCCACCTAGACACTTAAAAACGACCGAGTCAGCTTCCTGTAGGCCTTTTTATTTTACTTTATCTTTAATTTAAAGTCTTGGTGTGGTAGTACATGCCTTTAAGCCTAGCACTCAGCAGGCAAAGAGGCCAACCTGTTCTACTCAGAGTTCCAGACCAACCAGGACTACATCATGAGACACTGTCTGCAAAAAGAGTTGCATGCTGTGTGTGTGTATTTTATTTATATGTATGTATCTGTATACACGGATGCCATGTGTGTGCAGGTGTCCATGAGGGTCAGGAGAGCACGGTAAATCCCCTGGAGTTGGAGCTACAGGCAGTTGTGAGCCACCTGACAAGGATCTGAACTCTGGTCCTCTGCAAGAGTTCTTAACCTCTTAACCTCTGAGCCGTATTTCCAGCCTCTCCCGTGGGCTTTTATAGATGTTCTGAGTCTCAGCTTCTATTTTTAAAATCTTTTCTTTTATTGCTCACATTTTTCTTTCTCTTCTCTTCATATTCCCACTTCTAAAACACAGTTCTGGCCTCTTCTGAATTTTAACCAGAAATCTAGGCCAGCAGGGCACTGAAAGCATGGCTCTGAGCTCCGGATGCCCAGCTGTGTGACTGTTGGTAACTTATCTAGCTCCCCTCTTCCCGTGCCGCCTCTCCTCTGTGTAGTGGGGCTGATTATGGCACCTGCTTTGGCTCTATAAGGAGGATTTAAAGGATATGGTGGTGGTGGTGGTGTTTGTTTTTTTTTTTGTTGTTGTTGTTGTTGTTTATGTCTAGAAAATAGTAAACACTATGTAAGTGGTTTTGGTTTTCTGGTCTTGAGGAACATTTTTAGTAAACAAAATTATCTGTCAAGTCCATCTCTTCCTTTCTGCAGAAACACATCTTATCTCTTCCCTCATTTTCTTTCTCTTGATTAGCAACTACCTCTGCCCCTTTCATGTCAAAATGCGCTGTGCTGTCTTACCAGCTCCTGCACTCCTCACTCTTTCACTTGGTCGCAGACAGCTCAGGCCGCCCTCAATTTACTGTGTAGCCAAGGACGACCTTGAACCACAGATCTTCTGATTCTCTACTTCCCAAGTGCTAGGGATACAGATGTGTGCCAGCAGGTCACTCACATTCCGTGTGTGTGTGTGTGTGCATACCCATGTGTGGAAGTCAGCTAACAACCCTGGGTTGGTCCTTACCTTCCCCTGCGTTAGAGATACTGTCTTTGTTGTTTTCTGCCACATACGCCAGACTGGCTGGCTGTTCAGCTTCTGAGGATCCTGTCTCCACTCCGCATCTCCCTGCAGGTCACTGAGATTACAAGCTCTTAAACTACGTGTCTGGTTTTCACCCTGGTCCTGGGAACTCAGATTCAGGTCTTCATACTGCACCACGCCCCGAGCTCACATTTCTCACTTAATCAGACTTTCTCTCTAAATGCCTTCCATCTCCCCCATCAGCTCCTTTTGTTCTTTGAGCCATCTCCCTTCTTGGCTCTGTGTCGCTCAGACCATCTTGATTCCATGCCCACTTCAGTTTTCCCCGATGCCGACTCTACAGGGTTAGTGGTCTTCAGCCAGATGCACGTGTCTGAGAGGGAACCCTGCGCCAGGTGGTGGCACAGGTTGTCTCAGCACCATGTTCTGGGTTTCCATGCACACCAAGATCACTCTGTCTGATTATGATTGTACACCTACCTCGAACCCAGCGACCCACATGGAAATAGCAGCTCAACCTTCCTCCAGAACCTGGAGCAGGTCGGAGGAGCATCTGTCATAAGGGGGCTCCGAGTCTGTAGAAAGTAGAACACTGAGCTCGGTGTCAGGAGACGTGGCTTTCTGCCCCAACTCTGCTCATGTTTGTGACACTGACTTTGGGGAAACCATTCCTACTTATCTGGCCTCATCTACCTTAAGGATGCTTATGGTCATGCAAGACAAAATACGTGGGATCAGGGCTCAGCAGTTAAGAGCATTTGTTACTCTTGCAGAGGACCCAAGTTCAATTGCCATCAACCACTTGGTGGTTCCTAACCATCTGCAATTCCAGTTTCAGGGGATCTAGCGCCCTCTTTTGGCCTCCTTGAACACTGCATGCACATGGTACACAGACATACAGGCAAAACACTCATATACATAAAATAAACCTAAAAATGTTTAAACACGTGAAATTGCCTCTTTTCTGAGTGCACACTTTAGTGTTCCACATGGTAAACTTATATTTGTTGTCATAGTTAAATCTTTTATCTAGTCCAACATGTACATGAGGAAAACCATCTAGTCTACCGCCAGTCCATGCCAAAGTGTAAATGACAAAAGGCAGTTTAAAGTCAAACTGGTTTTACTCACCAATAGATTGTTACCTTCCTCTACAGAGGTGGTTTTCAACCTGTGGGCTGTAATACCTTTGGGGGTCAAATGACCCTTTCACAGGGGTTACCTAAGACCATCGAAAAACACAGATATCTACAATACAAATAACAATAGCAAAATTACAATTATGAAGTAACAATGAAAATAATTTTAAGGGTTGTGCAGTCACCACAGCATGAGGAGCTGTATTAAAGGATTGCAGCATTAGAAAGGTTGAGAACCACTGTTTTAGATGACCTCAAGCTGCGGTAGGGTTACTCGGTCTCCGCAACACTGACATTTTGTTTTTGTTTCGAGTTAGGGTGTCATTATGCTGTCCAGGCTGGTTCCTGGGCTCTGGTGACCCTCCTGCCTCAGCCTCCACAACAGCTGGGACTGCAACCATGTGCCACTGGACTCAGCTTCTCATGCTAACATTCTGGAGTATGAATTTGTTTCTGTTTTGCTGACAGTGGTGGTGCTGTGTTTTTTTAATTGGTTGGTGTTTTGAGACAGGCTCTTACTGTGTGGCGCTGCCTGGGACTCCCTTTGTAGACCAGTCTGGCTTTGAACTCACAGAGATCTCCCAGCCTCTGTCTGCAGAGTGCTAGAATTAAAGTGTGCCATCATGTCTGACAATGCTCCTTCCTTCCTTCCTTCCTTCCTTCCTTCCTTCCAACAGGTTATGTCATCCAGGTTAGTGTCAAAGTCACTGTGAACCCAAAGATGATCTTGAACTTAGTCTTCTGCCTCCACCTCATGATTATTGAGATTACGGGCATTTAACATATATACCACAGCTGGTCTGTGTGGTGCTGGAGACAGCTCAGGGCTCCACGCATGCTAGGCAAGCTCTCTGTCAGCTGAGCCACATCCCCTGTCCCCCACTCCCCGATTTCTTTCTGGTAGAGAAATGTCCTGTCATTTGTAGACTATTTATCTGTATTCCTGGCTTCTACGACTGGATGCCAGTCCTAAGGATCTCCAGACACAGTCCACACGCCTCCTGGGGAGCAGAACTGCTCCTGTTGAGACCCACAGATAATATAGCCTTTAAAATATACAGGCTTTTCTTTAAATGGCTAACTCTTCAAGTACAAAACTCCATTTCTGTAACTGTCTAGATGTCCCAGGCAAATCTTGACAGTTAATGTTTGGTTAGATTTTTCTGTGTGAGAATAATATGACGGTGTTAACCACAGAAGGATGCCTTCAAGGGTGAAGGCACCTGCTACCAAGTAGAGCGCTTGCCTAGCCTGCCATGCACAACCTCTCAGAGTTCAATGCCAGGGACTCACGTGGTAGAAGGAGAGAACTGACTCCTAAAAGTTGTCCTCTTATCTCCACATACATATGCCCACATCCATCCATCCATCCATCCATTCATACATACATGCACACATACTTAACATGTATATACATACATATATACAAGTAAATGAACATGAAAACTGCCAAGTGGTGGTGGCACACACCTTTAATTTCAGCACTTGGGAGACAGAGGCAGGTGGATCTCTGTGAGTTTGAGGTCAGTCTGGTCTACAGAGCTTGTTCCAGGACAGCCAGGGTTACACAGAGAAACCCTGTCTTGGAAAACCAACAACATCAAAAACAACAACAAAAACATGAAAACTAAAGCGTTAACTATCTCTACCATCCATTGATTTCATAACAACAACAAAATGGTTTGTTTTGTTTTTTTAATGTATATGGGTGTTTGGCCTGCATGTATGTGGGTGCACCTTGTGTGTGCAGTGCCAACAGAGGCCAGAAGAGGGATTAGATCCCCGGAGACTGGAGTTACAGATGATTATGGACAATGACGTGGGTGCTAGGAACTTAACCCAGGTCATCTGGAAAAGCAACAAGTGTCCTTAACCACTGAGCCATCTCTCCAGCCCCCCAAACACTGTTATTATGAAGAGACAGTGATACAAGTTCCTTCTCTACTAGAAGTCTTTAATCCCAGCATTCAGGAGGCAAAGGCAGGTGGATCTCTGTGAATTTGAGGCCAGTCTGGTCTACAGTGAGTTCCAGGGCAGCCAAAGCTACACAGAAAAACCCTGTCTCAAAAAACACCCCCTCCCCAAAAAAAAGGGAAAAAACAAAGAAGAAATAAGTAAGTTTGAAGTTTGACTGTTTCTAAACAGCCAATAAAAACACAAAACTGGCTCTGTACTAGACATGTGAATCTCAGTTCTTACAACCTTGCAGGTTCTTGCTGGTAGTTTTGTCCTCTGGGGGTATTTCTCAATATCCTTGGGTCTCTAAGCCAGGGGAGGAGAGACTACTGACATCTAGTGACTGACAGAAGCCAGGGATGCTAACCATCCTGAAACACATAGAACAATCAGTCTCACAACAAAGAATATTGTGGTCCAATATGTTAAAATGTCAGCCGTGCTGATGAGAAACTGCACCATAAGGGAATGAGGGTTGTATCCTGTGTCTTTACTTGGCCAGGGGATTCTCTCCGGAGAACCTAATTGAGTCTCTGTTCTTCTTTCCTCCAGCTGCTCATGGCACAAGTTCCTACGATGCATGCTTACGGTCTTTCCCTTCCTAGAGTGGATGTGTTTGTATCGATTCAAGGACTGGCTTCTTGGAGACTTACTTGCTGGTTTAAGTGTTGGTCTTATTCAAGTTCCCCAAGGTAAGGGCAATCCAAAACCTTCTTACCAAAGCTGATCTCCTAGACCTCAACAACTTTCGGGAGCAAGCAGTTCTGCTGGATGAACAGAAGGGAAACACAGGAGTGGCATTCTTACTGTCATCATTTCTCCCTGTAATCCCCAGGTCTCTAACCCCTCCAGGTGGTTCCAAAAGATGTGATTGAATTGAGACCCATGAACACTTTCCACAGAATTTGCAATCCCCACTCCTGGTCATTTTCTGCCCCTGGGGGGTTTCACACTCGTGATGACAGTAGATCTCAGCAGGTGTTAATTTTCCTTAGGAAAAGATGAGCGCTAGGGAACAGGGCACCTGTCTCTCCAGCAGGGGACACACCACAGCTGCTAGATGAGAGACCCCAAGGTCTCACCGGGCTGTAGAAAGCTCCTTTCCACCCAGGAGCAGTAGAGCACACCTGCAGCCCCAGCATCAAAAGGTGGGGATACGCCTACTTGAGAATTTATCGAGAAACAAACAAACAAAATCTCGACTCCAAATAGGAATCAGTAACTCTTTTGTCTGTTTATTTTTGTGACAGTTTCATGATGGAGGCTGGCCTCTGTCTCACAGAGATCTGCCTGCTTCTGTCTCCTTAGTGCTGGAGTTAAAGGGCTACGCTACCAGGCACAACTATTTTTTTTTACTTTCTTTTTTTTTTTTTTATGTGTAGCCCAGGCTGGCCTCAAACTCGTGATCCTCCTGCCTCTGCCTCCTTTAGCAAATCCTACCGGCGTTAGCCACTACAACCAGCTTTTTTTTTTTTTACTTTCTTAACATTTATTTATTTATTGTGTGTATGTAGAGGTCAGGGAATGGCTTAAGGGGGGGCGGGGTCTGTTTTCGCCTTCCACCATGACATGGGTCCCAGAAATCAAATTTAGGTCTTCAGGCTTGATATTATGCCCTGAGCCATCACACATACCTCCTTTTTTTAACCTTTTTTTTTTTTTTAACACACACACACAGAAAATATGTATAATTTATTAAGGGTTCTACAACTGTTTTTTGTTAGCTATGTGTTTAAAGAAATTCCCATTTTCTCTTTTTTTCGTTGTGTATATTGATTATACGTGATAGTATGTTACACAGACCTTTGATTTAAGTATATACTATGCATTGAACATGACGGCACATCTCCTCATCCTCCTCCCTTTTTGCCTCTTAGTCCCCTGTTCTCCTAGACGGTTTTACTGTACTTACATGTTGTATGTACAGTCATGATTTCATGTGCCTATCTAAGACCTAGGAACCACATGTGATAATAGATATCCCACATCTGTGTTTCTGAGACACAAATAGTTCACTTCCTCTGATGACCTCCATTTTCCTGCAGATGACACAACTTCACTCTCGATGGCCGGGGACTCCCCTGTAGCTACACCACAGTTTCTTTATCTGTTCCTCTGTTGCTAGGCACTGGGCTCCTGGAGCCAGCCACTGTCTTAACAGTCCCTGAAGTGTCGTTTCTAGAACCCCCAAAAGTGAGTGACAAACCAAATCTGAGGAGTCCCTGTGTTCAGAGAAGCCCCCAACCAGGGCATCCCCAGGCTCCCTGCAGACGGAGCGTACTAACAGGGCTCATTTTTTACCATGCCAATACTTCTGGTAGCACTGATGTTCTACTGTTATTCCCTCTCCGAAGACCAGATGTGACGATCACTGTGAAGAGGCTGGGTTTCCTTACCATTGGCTCCCAGTAGTCATGGTTCCCACGTGGTTATGCTGGAGGTTGACTGAAGGCCCTGTGCACACTAAGGTGCTCAGTGACTACGCCTAACCTGGGCCCTCCAAGTCTTTTACTGACCATATCCACCTGGCAAAGTTTGCCAATATATGCTCAGTAAATATGCCTCAGGAGTTTTCATGAAACGTATGTAAAATCTCGAAGAATTTGTATGTCTGTGGACCAGGAGATATATACAAGAATACATCCCTAGTTTAGGCCCATCCTGGGACCGGAGGCAGAGTAATGTGAAATCCTGAAGACAAGAGCAGGGAAATGGCCTTTTGGTTCTAGTTTCTCATGAAGTTTGACTGTCCTTCGTGTCCTCATAATTAATTTACTAGTTAGTATAAGCTAATTTAAGCATAGCTTCTACTTTTTGCAATGCATAGAGGTTGATTAAGAAAGAAATTGGGGCTGGGCAGTGGTAGTACACACCTTCAATCCCAGCACTTGACAGGAAGAGACAGGTAGATCTCTGAGTTCAAGGCCAGCTTGCTTACAGAGCAAGTTCCAGAACAGAAAAACCCTGTCTCCACATATCCCCCTCTAAAAAAAGGATAGAATTGGTGGCACAGGTAACAGGCTTTCCTTTGGCCTCCTAAGTCATGGCATGGAGACATTATCAGTTCCGAATGCTCAGCTTTAGCTGAGCTCCTGTTTCAGCTCTTTCTCTTTATCCACATTTGCCATGGGGCTTTTACCTTCCTTCCTTCCTTTCTTTTTTATTTTATTTTATTTTATTGGTGTGAAGGTGTCAAATTTCCTGGAACTGAGTTACAGACAGTTCTGAGCTGCCATGTGGGCGCTGGGAATGTTTGAACCCGGGTCTTCTGGAAAGGCAGCCAGAGTGCTCTTAACTACTGAGCCATCTTGCCAGCCCCCTTTTCCCTTTTCTTTTCTTCCGTCCGCCCTTCCTTTCCTCCCTCCCTTTCTTTCTTTTCTTCCTTCCTTTCCTTTCTTTCCATCCTTCCTTCTTTTCGTCCTTCCTTCCTCCCTTCCTCCTTCCCTTTCTTCTTTCTTTCTTTCTTTTTTTTTTTTCTTTTTTTTTTTTTTGGTTTTTCGAGACAGGGTTTCTCTATGGTTTTGGAGCCTGTCCTGGAACTAGCTGTTGTAGACCAGGCTGGCCTCGAACTCACAGAGATCCGCCTGCCTCTGCCTCCCGAGTGCTGGGATTAAAGGCATGCGCCACCACCACCCGGCCTCTTCCTTCTTTCCTTCCTTCCTTTCTTCCTCCCTTCCTTCTTTTCTTCCTTCCGTCCTTCCTTCTTCTTTTCTGTCCTACTTTCACTGCTTCTCATGTCTAGCTGGTTGGCTGGCAGCTGCCTGGCTTCTGGCCCTGGGCCTGTCCCTCTCGTTCTCCCTCATTCTTACCTCCATCTTCTCTCTTTAGCTTAGATTTCTCCTCCTATGCCTCCCCTATCCCTCTCCTGCCTAGCTATTAGCATTTAGCTTTTTTTTTTTTTTTGGTTTTTCGAGACAGGGTTTCTTTTCTTTTTTTTAAAATATTTATTTATTTACTTATTATGTATACAACATTCTGTTTGTGTGTATGTCTGCAGGCCAGAAGAGGGCACCAGACCTCATTACAGATGGTTGTGAGCCACCATGTGGTTGCTGGGAATTGAACTTAAGACCTTTGGAAGAGCAGGCAATGCTCTTAACCACTGAGCCATCTCTCCAGCCCTCGAGACAGGGTTTCTCTGTGGTTTTGGAGCCTGTCCTGGAACTAGCTCTTGTAGACCAGGCTGGTCTCGAACTCACAGAGATCCGCGTGCCTCTGCCTCCCGAGTGCTGGGATTAAAGGCGTGCGCCACCACCGCCCGGCTAGCATTTAGCTTTTTTTAGACCAATCAGGTTCCTTAGGCAGGCAAGGTGAAGCAGCAGCACATCTTCACAGAGTTACACAAATAAGCACAAACAAATGTAGCACATCTTCGCCTAGTTAAAATAATCTCCCACCACAGACTGGGACTGGGGAGATAGCTCAGCTAGTAGAGTGCTTACTGCCTGAGGTTGCAAGCCTGATGGTCTGAGTTCAACCCTCAGAACCTGAAGGAGAGACCAACTCCATGAAGTTGTCCTCTGACCTACACACGCACGCACGCGCGCGCGCACACACACACACACACACATACACACACTCTCTCACACACCCTTTCTCTCACACACACATACACACACATACAAACACATTGTGGTACAGATGTGTGCACACTCACACACCACATAAAAATAAATAAGCGTTTTGGTGGTTTGGTGTTGTTTTGGACAAGGTCTCTCACTAGGAACTCACTATAAAAACCAGGTTGGCCTTGAACTCAGAGATCTGTCTACCTGTGCCTCCCCAGTACTGCACCAGCACACCCGGCCAGTCATAAATAAGTGTTTTTGAAGCCTTGAATAGGAATACTAAGAAAAGACACTGGGATGGTTACCATATAGAAGACAGACTGCATCTGACAAGCCAAAATCAAGTGACTTTTGTGTGACTTCTGCCTTGTTCTCCAGCTCTATCTTTGGTCCTGGAGGATTCCCAGGGCCGCCTTTTTTCTCTTATTACTTCATTTATGTGCGTGTGTGTGTGTGTGTGTGTGTGTGTGTGTGTACATGTTAGTACAGGTGCCCTCAGAGGCCAAAGGCATCCAGTTCCCTGGAACTGGAGTTACAGGAGGTGTCTGCTGCCAAGCCTCGGTGCTAGAAACCAAACCCAGGTCCTTGGCCATCTGTGCAGCCCTCCAGGCCCTTGGAGCTGGGAGGGATGAGCACTGCACAGGAAGCTGGAGCTAGCACTCAGTACCCTGTCTCCTCTCCAGGTCAGTGCTGCAGCCACTCAGTGAGTCTATGACAGAGCTAAGATGTAGGGTTTGTAGCTCGGGTGGTAGGGTGCCTGCTGGCATTAACAAGCCCTGGGGTCCACTCTCCAGTGCTCACAAACTGGCAGAACAGCTTACACCCATAATCTCAGCACTCTGGAGCTGGAGACAAGAGGATCAGAGAGGTTCAAAGTCACTCTCCGATACGTAGTGAGTTTGAAACCAGCCTGGACTATATGAGACTCTGTCTCCAAAAACAAACAACAACAAAAACCCAAAAGCTAAGCTATAAAAGCATGCTGGAAACTACGGCAATATAAGAGCTATTTACACACAGGCTAAGCATTCATAGCCATTTTATTTTGAGGTAATTTTTTTCTGGTTTCTCGAGACAGAGTTTCTTTGAATAACAGCTCTGGCTCTCCTAGAATTTGTTCTGTAGACCAGGCTGTCCTTGAACTCACAGAGATTCGCCTGCCTCTGCCTCCCCAGTGCTGGGATTAAAGGCCTGCGCCACCACTACCCGGTTTAAGGTAACTTTTAAAGCCAAGCTACTGTCTTTGCTTAATTAAGTTATTTTGCTTTTCAGGCCTGACACTTAGTTTGCTGACAAGGCAACTGATTCCTCCCCTCAATGTCACTTATGCTGCCTTCTGCTCTTCAGTCATTTATGTAATATTCGGATCATGCCATCAAATGTCCATCGGTGAGTTCAATGCCGGAGCCACAGGAGCTAGATGATCTGTCAGTTATCTGCTTGTTGCTTAGCAACCAGTGCCAGTTAGCTTTCAGTCACCATAAAGAAATGCTTGGGAACATGGGCTTAAACAGGAACGGTTTACAGTGGCTCGTGCACACAGACACAGGCACAGACACATTCACACACAGAGACATGTATGCACATATACACACACAGACACACATGCACGCATACCTTCAGACACAGACATGAATACACAGACACATCTTTGTATGCATGCACAAATGCACCCACACGCATACATATACATGCACACAAATATCCCCACAAGACACATGCACAGACACACAAGCAGACACATGCACACATAAACACAGACACATTAACACACACAAATATAGACACATCCATGTATGCACACATACACATGCATACACATACATACATGTACAAACATGTACAAGATTTTACATATACACACATCTATGAATGCACACACATATAGGGTAGGGGACAAGAGTTACTCCTCAAGTACATATCTTCAAGGACCTACTTCATCCATTTCCAGTAGCATGAACACCAAGACTTCAACATATGAGCTTTTAGGGAGCATTTGAGGCCAAAGTGTAGTGTTTTAACCCCCAAACCCACATCTGTCCCATAGTGCAAAGTACATCAGTCTTTCTCTAAGTCTCTCTCCATAGTCTTTACAGTTCCAGCATAGTTCAGAAGTCCTGAGGTTAAGGATGTATGCCACCATGCCTGGCTCCACCCTCTTTAACTTAGTCTCAAGGTGAGGCACAGTGGCTAAGCCTGACAGTGACTTCCAGCCAGCCTGTGCTTGTATCCCAGCCTCTATGCCCATGTTTCAAAGAGGTGAAACTCCTGAACCACCCAACCTGTGAAGCCCCAATTCTCGTCCCTGCTTTCTCTTCCTTCTCAAGGATGATTTCAGGTTTTCTGAGCTTGCGATATGTTTCCCATACTTCCTTCACAGGCCCCTTCTTCCTCGTGAGCGCTCTGATGATCAACGTTCTGAAGGAGAGACCGTTCAACAACGGCCACCTGATCATGGGAACGTTCGTCAAGGATGACTTTTCTCTCCCGACCTTCTACGAAAACTATAACAGATCTCTGAGTGTGGTGGCAACCACAACTTTCCTGACAGGAGTTATTCAGGTAGGAACTGAATCTCTGAATTTGAAAAAAACTAAAGAACAGGTGCGTTGTGGATTGAATGTGAAATGTTCTACTCCTGTGAGTGGACACTTGGTCCCCAGCTGGTGACACTGTCTGGGAAGGCTCCAGAACCTTTAGAAGACAGAGGCCCCTGGAGGAATTGGCTCCCAGGCAGGTCTGGAAGTTTTGTTCAGTCCCACATCTTGTCTGTTCTTTGCTTCCTATAGTGCAGGACGTGAGTGCGGGAAGCGAAGCACCATTTGTACCGTTAGCCCCATCTTGCTGGACGTTTAGTCACAGTGATAACTCACACGGCAGCTGTGAAAGACTCACGTGTCCAGAGTCGCAGTGATTTGTCCCCTCTCTGAGGGCTAAAAGTGTGCAAAATTTTAAAGTACAAGAAAGGGAAGCCGGGCGATGGTGGCACACGCCTTTAATCCCAGCACTCGGGAGGCAGAGGCAGGCGGAGCTCTGTGAGTTCGAGGCCAGCCTGGTCTACAAGAGCTAGTTCCAGGACAGGAACCAAAAGCTACGGAGAAACCCTGTCTCGAAAAATTAAAAAAAAAAAAAGAAAGAAAGAAAGAAAGAAAGAAAGAAAGGGAGACTTGGGCTGGAGAGATGACCCAGTGGTATGGCAAAGATTTACGAAAGTTCGATTGAATCTTTCTTTTTGTTGTTGTTGGTGGTGGTGGTTTTTTGAGATAAGGTTTCTGTCCTGGAACTCTGTATTTAGATCAGCTGGCCTCAAACTCTGTGTCTCTAGAGTGCTGGGATTAAAGGTGTGCGCCACCACAGCAGCCCCATTGAATCATTCTTAATACACAGGAGTCACAAGGCTGGGAAGTTTGATCTGGTGCTTGAGTTTGTTTGCTTGCTTGTTTGTTTTGGGACAGGGACTCACAGAGCCCAGGGTTCTAAAACTCACTTTATAGTCAAAGATGACCTTGAACTCCCTCCTCCACCTCTGGAGTGCTGAAGCTCCAGGTGTGCACCACCACCTCACATTCTCCCTCTCAGTTCCTCTTTGTGGTCCTCTGCCTTTGTGGAAGGCGGCGCTCCTCACAGAGTTGAGAGGGGCTCCGACCCAAGGCCTTTGGAAAAGATGGGTCTTGTGACTGTCAGTCTCTGTCTCAGAGCCGCGTCCATCTAGAGGGCAGAGGTTCTAGGGGAGGAGCCTAACAGCTGCCAGTGTTTCAGAAGGAAAAGAAGAATGTGGGCTGGGGCTTGCTGGGAGCCTCTGAGTCAACATTCAAGGACCCCATTTCACTGGGGAAGGAGAGCCTAAGGAGTTCTCCAAGGCGCCCCTGGTCTTTTGGTTGGGAATCTGTTTTGAGCAGAGGTCGTGGGCCCCTGGGGAGTCCAGCTGATATTGTTGCTGACTTGATGGCTGTCTTAATTAGGGTTACTATTGCTGAAACACTGTGACAAATGCAGCCTGGGGAAGAAAGGGTTCATTTCCATCATCGCTCCATATAACAGTTCATTATTGAAGTGATATGAAGGCAGAAAGTCAAGCAGGCTAGGAACCTGGCAGCTGGAGCTGATGCAGAGGCCATGGAGGGCTGCTGTTTATTGGCTTGCTCCTCATGGCTTGCTCAGCCTGCTTTCTTATAGAACCCAGGACCACCAGCCCAGGGATGACACCGCCCACAATGGGCTGGGCCCTTCCCCATCAATCACTTATTAAGAAAATGCCCTAGGGGCTGGGGAGATGGCTCTCCAAGAGGTCCTGAGTTCAATTCCCAGCAACCACATGGTGGCTTACAACCATCTGTAATGAGATCTGATGCCCTTCTTCAGGCCTGCAGACAAACATGTATATATAATAAATAAAGCAAACCTTTTTAAAATAGAAAAAGGAAAGAAAGAAAATGCCCTACAGGCTTACAACCTGATTTTATGGGGTCGTAGTCTCAGTTGAGGTTCCTGATGCCCTACAGGCTTACAACCAGATCCTATGAGGTTCCTTCCTCTCAGATGACTCCAGCCTGTGTCAAGTTGACACAGAACTAGCCAGCACAATGACCCAAGTCTCTTTGGTCTGTTTCTTTTCTTCACACCCCACAGCTGTCAATGGGTATGATGGGAATGGGCTTCGTGGCCACATACCTTCCGGAGGCTGCAATCAGTGCTTACCTCGCTGCTGTGGCCCTACACATCATACTGGCCCAGATGACATGCATCTTTGGGATCATGGTCAGTTTCCACGCTGGTCCCATCTCCTTCTTCTACGTGAGTAACCTCAAACCTCTCCCAGAGTTCACACACCCCTCCTCTGGCCTAGGAAGAAAACTGAGCCTGGGTAGACAGATTCCTGCCTGTACCAAGAGGGTAAGAGGGGCCCAGAAGTAACTCTGTCTCCTGCAGATTTAGGGTCTTGGTCCACTACAGAAGCTGACTGGAGCAGCAGCTCACTTCAGTTCAGCTTTTAAGCTAGATGGTTTGCATTAAAATTTGTCCGTGAGCACCCGCTTAACTCCAGCACTCGGGAGGCAGAGGCAGGTGGATCTCTGGAAGCCAACCTGGTCAACAGGGTGAGTTCCAGGACAGCCAAAGCTACACAAAGAAGCCCTGCCCCCACCTTCCCCCCCCCCAAAAAAAAATATTGACCATGGGGTCAGTGACATGATTCAGCTGGTAAAGTTGACTGCCAGCAAGTATGTAGACTTAAGCTGCATCCCTGCAGCCCACCTGCTAGAAAGAGAGAGTGAACTACCAAAAGTTATGTACACACACACACACACACACACTTACACACTCGTATAATAACTAAATGTAAAAAATTTAAATTTTGTCAGGAAGTTACTATTTAGTTGTAGACAGAGACTGTTAGTTCATTTCCTGTCGCCCAGACCCAAATAGTCCCACAGAAGCTCTATTACTTATAATACTGTTTGGCCAAGAGCTTAGACGTATTCCTAGGTGGCTTTAACATCTTCAGTTAATCCGTTTCTTTTTTTTTTTTTTTTTTTTTTTTGGTTTTTCGAGACAGGGTTTCTCTGTGGCTTTGGAGCCTGTCCTGGAACTAGCTCTTGTAGACCAGGCTGGTCTCAAACTCACAGAGATCTGCCTGCCTCTGCCTCCCGAGTGCTGGGATTAAAGGCGTGTGCCACCATCGCCCGGCTCAGTTAATCCATTTCTATTCATCACCACGAGGCTGTGGCCTACGAGTAAGGTTCCGGTGGGTCTTTCTCCGTTGGCAGCTGCATGGCGTCTCCTTGACTCTGCCTACTCTCTCAATCTTTGTTTGGGTTTCCCGCATGGCTTTATTCTGCCCTACCATAGGCCGAAGCAGCTTCTTTATTAACCAATGGTAATAAAACATATCCATAGCATACAGAGGGGAGTCCCGCATCGTTTCATTATTCTCCCTATCACATGCCACATAGCAGACTTGTATCCTAAATACGCAGAGTTTGTGAATAGGCCATGAATGCAAAAAATGAAGCGAAAATTCAACTAAATAGCATTCATGGCCTTAAAAATAACAGTGGACAGGTTAACAGATAGAACTCTTACACTCTGGAGGCAGAGGCAGGCAAATCTCTGTAATTTTGAGGCCAACATTTTTTATATAACAAGTTCCAGGCCAGCCAGGAATCTCTAGCCCCTAAATAGATTCTCAGGTCTTTTCCCTTACAATGAGACAGAAGTATAATAACCATAAGTATATTCTCCCTTCATTTAGCATTATTGCCTTTTAAGGTATCTACTCTTCAATTTAAAAAACAAAATTAAAAAAAAAAACATTTTAAGCTACGTAAGGCTGATGGCTCAGTCTTGTAATCTCACTTGGGAGGCTGAGACAGGAGGATCTCAGGTTCAAAACCTGCTTGTGCTACAAGATGAGCTCAGGACCAGCATGAGCCATTTAATGAGACCTTGTCTCAAAGAACAAAATAGAGGGCTGGAGACACAGTGCAGTGGAAGAGCACTTGCCCAGCGTGACATGGGTTCAGTCCCCAGCATGGAGAAAAACTACCCAAACCACACAGCCCTCATTCCTGCCCCTCGTGTTCCCGCAGAGCTCAGGCGGTATCCCTAAGGAAGCCTGTGCAATGTTTTCTTCTTTCAGAACATAATTAACTACTGCATCGCTCTCCCCAAAGCCAACTCCACCAGCATCCTGCTCTTCCTCACCGCTGTGGTGGTTCTGAGAATCAACAAGTGCATCCGCATTTCCTTCAACCACTACCCCATCGAGTTCCCCATGGAGCTGTTTCTGGTAGGTGTCTCTGCGGCGGACTCCACCGTTCCGCCAGTGATTCCAGACACTCGCTCTAACCTAGGAGGGCAAAGATAACACTGGAAAAGAAGAACCACTGGCAAGGAGATGGTTAAAAGTGTTTGCTGTACTTTTGACCCCAGCACTTGGGAGGCAGAGGCAGGTGGATCTCTGTGAGTTTGAGGGCAACCTGGTCTACAGAGTGAGTTCCAGGATGGCCAGAGCTACACAGAGAAACCCTGTTGAGAGAGAGGGGGAGAAGGAGAGAGAGAGAGAGAGAGAGAGAGAGAGAGAGAGAGTGTGTGTGTGTGTGTGTGTGTGTGTGTGTTTGCAGCTCCCAGAGGGTCGGAGTTGTGCTCCTAGTTGCAACTCCAGGAATCAGATGTCCTCTCTTGGCTCCACGGACACTTCTCCACACATATGCCACACACACAAACACAAAAATAAGAGTAACATAAATCTCTCTTTAAAAGACTTGTAAGGAAACATTAAATCAGGTCAAAGCTGATAGAGGCTTTTGTTCTGTTGGAGAGTTATTTATTTGAGTATAGGTGTTTTACTGCATGTGTGCAAGGCAGTACATGCATGCCTTGTGCCTGAGGAGTCAGAAAAGGGGGTTGGATCTAGGCTGGAGAGATGGCTCAGAGGTTAAGAGCACTGACTGTTCTTCCAGAGGTTCTGAGTTCAATTCCCAGCAACCACATGGTGGCTCACAGCCATCTATAATGAGATCTGGTGCCCTCTTCTGGCCTGCAAGCATACACGGAAGGAATGTTGTATACATAATAAATAAACAAATCTTTAAAAACAAAAAAAAAGGGGGGGTTGGATCCCCTAGACCTCAATGAGATCTGGTGCCCTCTTCTGGCCTGCAAGCATACACGGAAGGAATGTTGTATACATAATAAATAAACAAATCTTTAAAAACAAAAAAAAAGGGGGGGTTGGATCCCCTAGACCTCGAGTTACAGAGGATCCAGCTGCCATGGGGGTGCTGGGAATTAAACACAGGTCCTCTGCAAGAGCAGCCATTGCTCCCAACCACTGAGCCGTCTCTCCAATCCCCTAAATACAGTTTTAAATGTGTGCCATTCTTGTAAAATTCTCTTTGTGACTCTGGTTCTTGTTCTCTCTCTTGTTCGTTCTCTCTCTCTCTCTCTCTCTCTCTCTCTCTTTCTCACTGGTATTTTTGTTTTGTTTTTTTTTTCGAGATAAGATTTCTCTGTAGCTTTTAGAGCCTGTCCTGGAACTAGCTCTTATAGACCAGGCTGGCCTCGAACTCACAGAGATCCGCCTGCCTCTGCCTCCCAAGTGCTGGGATTAGAGGCGTGCGCCACCACTGCCCGGCTTCTCACTGCTATTTTAAAATAGTCTCACTATGTAGCCCAGACTGGCCTCAAATTCATAACAGTTCCCCTGCCTCAGCTTCTCCAGTGCTGGAACTTCTGCCACGTGCTATCAAACCCGGCTGTGACATGTTTTGTTTTTATTTTATTTTTTAATTTATTATTCTTATGTATAAGCTGAGCACATAAGCACCTAAGTTCTACAGAGCGTGGGGGAAGGTCAGAGAACAGTTTGGTGGGGTCGACCCTCTTCTTCTACCATGGGTTCCCCGGGGATTAGATTCGGGTCATCAGCCTAGCACCCAGCAAGTGCTTTGACCTTTTAAATCAGTCGTGTGTTTTGGTTTTTTAAAAAATTTAGGTTTTGCTCAGGTATACTTGACCATAGGAATTTTATATACTTGCTTGCACACGGAGAGGTTTTGGCATGTTATGTTATAGGTTTGTCAAGTCAGCGCCTCTACCACCACACAGGTGTCTCTTCTTTGCTTTGTCTTCATTTGAAACAGGTCTTGCCAGTCAGCTCTAGCTAGAATCCAACTCTCAGCCTACCCTCAAGTTCTGGGGTATAGACACAAAGCCCACGGCCAGCTAACAGACACAAAGCCCACAGCCAGCTAACAGATACAGTGCCCACGGCCAGCTAACAGATACAGTGCCCACGGCCAGCTAACAGACACAGAGCCCACGGCCAGCTAACAGACACAGAGCCCACGGCCAGCTAACAGACACAGAGCCCACGGCCAGCTAACAGACACAGAGCTCATAACCAGCTAACAGACACAGAGCCCACGGCCAGCTAACAGACACAGTGCCCACTGCCAGCTGACAGACACAGAGCCCACGGCCAGTGATCATCTTTTCATTGTGAGAACATTTAAGACCTATCGCTTTCCCAGTTTTCATGTCTCCAGTACACTATTGTTAACTGTAGGCCCCAGGCTGTACCATTCTCTACCGGAATGCTTATGTTTTAAAATGTGAAAATGTGTTATGTGTGTGGTGTGTATGTATGCACACCTGTGTGTAGACCAGACGTTTCCTCCTCTGTTGCTCTCTACCTTGGCTTTTCTTTGAAATTTTAAAAGGTTTTTTTTAGAAAATTCCCTGTATGTGTGCATGCCCAGGAAATGTCCATGTGAGTGTAAGCGCCCGCAGAGTCCAGAAGAGGATATTGGGTCCCCTGGAACAGCAGTCACAGATGCTTCTGAGCCAGTGATGTGGGTGCACTGAACTTGTGTCCTCTGGAAGAACAAGCCAGTGCTCTTAAGCTGTGAGCACCTCTCCATCCCCTCCTCTTGGTTCTTTTGAGAGAGACTCTCACTGAACCTGGAGTCATGATTAGCCAGACTGGCTGGCCTTGGGCTTCTTGATACACATCCAGCAGTGGGGCCTGTGCTGGAAGCCCGAGGAGAGAGAAGCTGCGGCACTTCCCAGTCCCCATCCGAGTATCAGAGACCAGGCCACAGGGAGCATGGAGAATCAAAACATAAGGCCTCTCTTGACTTTGATGTCAGGACGGCCCACATTTCACTCCCTGTCATGCTGGGGCCTCCGCACCTCACTGCTGGAGGCAATGCACGATATTTAATCATATGCTTCTCCTCTTAACTCCGGACAGATTCTTGGCTTCTCCTTACTTACGAACAAGATAAGCATGGCTACAGAAAACAGCAAGATGCTGATCAACATGATTCCATACAGGTCAGTCATTTCACTTGCCTTGCCTCTCTTTTGTTTGTTTGTTTTTGTTTTTTAAGATTTATTTATTATATATATATATATATATAGTGTTCTTCCTGCATGTATGCTTGCAGGCCAGAAGTGGGCACCAGATCTCATTAAAGATGGTGTGAGCCACCATGTGGTTGCTGGGAATTGAACTCAGGACCTCTGGGAGAGCAGCCATTGCTCTTAACGAATGAGCCATCTCCCCAACTCTGTTTTTGATTTTTTTTTTTGAGACAGGGTTTCTCTGTGTAGCCCTGGTCTGTCTGTCCTAGAACTCAGCTCTGTAGACCAGGCTGGCCTTGAACTCAGAGATCTGCCTGCCTCTGCCTCCTGAGTGCTGGGATTAAAGGCGTGCGCCACCACCGCCAACTGGCGTCATTCCACCTTTCAAGATTGCTTTTCCTTTATTTTTCTGTGACAGGGTCTTGCTTTGTAGCCCAGGTTGGCCGCAGGGATGAGAGACGTTACCTTCATGGCACTGTTCTTCCCTTCTGAGCACTCTCCCCAGGCCTCCCTGCACACAGTCCGGTCATAGGCGCCCCTGGCCATACTTGGCACAGGTACAGTTCTCAGAGTTTCAACTGGGATCAGGTGTAGAACGGAGGTTGTGAACAATCAGGCCAGCACATCTCCTGTTTCTTCTTTACTCACCCTCTGTCACTCTTCTCATAAGAGAGCCTGTCTGCTAAGACACCTGCTGGGTGCCCAGAACACCAGAGCCTTGATTCTTTTCTCTGTAGGCATTTTGGGTCTCACAGAGCCCCACCCTTGTCTGATTAACTCTCAAGAGCAGAACAAGAAAGCCAGGCATGTAGTGCCCGTGTGTCATCCCAGCATTTGGGGAGAAGAGGGAGACAGGAGACTCAGGAGTTAAAGGCTAGCTTTGGCTATACATCAATCACCAGGCTAGCCTGGGCTGCTTGAGACCACCCTCTCCAATAAATAAATAAATAAATAAATAAAATAAAACAAACCAAAAGAGGTGGGATGAGAGATCCATTTTCTAGTGTCTCTGATAGAAAACAGGATTCTGTGTTCAGAGGAGACCTGTTGCTTTGCCATCACCCACTTGAAGGTGAATTACACAGTCCTGCTCTGCCTCCCCGGGTACTGGGATCAAAGGTGTGTGTAGCACCATGCCCAGCAACTTGCTTTCTTTTTAAACATTTTTTTCTCTACGTCTGTGGAGGGAAGAGCGTGCATGCCAGAGTGCGCACATGGAGGGCAGAGGACAATTTACAGGAGTCACGTCTCTCCTTATACTGTGCGCGTTCCGGGAATCGCGCTCAGGACGGCAGCCGTGGTGGAGAGCATCGGTGAGCATTACCCCGAGCGCTCTCTCAGCCTGGTTCGTATTCTTCATGACTTCCAAAGCACACAGTCCACTTCAGCTAATCTTTCACCATAAGATTCACATATAGAGAAGAAAGCATTTCAAACTCCAATTTACACATTGCTTCAAATATTCTTTATTTGAGTCACCCTCTTTTTTAATACATGGCTGCCAGGAACGGGTAAAACTGGACACTGTAACTTAACTCCTGTTATGCTCTTGTTTCCTGGTGTTGTTTTCTGCTGCTTTCAGTGGTTGTTTTGGCTTTTGTGATACAGGTAGTGCAGACCAGCGTTGAATTCCTGATCCTCCAGTGTGCACATCAAGTGCTGGTACTATAGATGTGCTCTATCATGCCCAGCTTCTGTGTTCTTTTTTTTTTCTGTGTTCTTTTTAATCCTAATTTGTTGAGCACAGGGTAGTGATGTACACCTTGAAACCCAGCACTTGGGAGGCAGAGGCAGGTGTGGGCCTGTGAGTTGGAGGCCAGCCTGATCTACAGAGTGAGTTCCAGGACAGCCAGGGCTACACAGAGAAACCGTGTCTCAAAAAGCCCAGAAAGAGTATGGCACAGACAACAGCAGGCGGGAGAGCCACCAGCTCATGTTGCTAAGTCTGTGTGGTCAACAGTGTTTATCGTTTACCTCTTTAGAATACCCATGTTCTCACCCACCTTCATAAATAAACAAAGAGGGAGAGGTGGGCTTTAAGCATGAACTAAGAAGTTTTAATTAGATAAGCTTTTATTTGCTCTGCAGAAAAGTCTACCACAAAAATAGAGAAAGGAAAGATGGAACATATCCATGCTCCTAAATTAGGTTTAAAGGATTGTGTCAGCATGAAGTTATATATACTTCATACATACATATCTATATCTATATATATAATCTCTCTCCCAAACCATCAGGATTTCTTCTCCTTTTTTTGTCTTTTCCTATCATGAATGATAAACACACTTGAAGGTTAACCCTCTCATGTCCTGAGAAGAAGCCCAAGTGGTCCTGTCATATTAACAATTTATAGGCTGGTCAGATCTCTTCCATTATAGCCATGAAAAGCGTTGGCTGGGAATGTCTGCAGCCTCTGGAAGTTCCTATAAAACTGGCATGATCTCTTCCTTACACACTCGGTAGAGTCCACCAGTGCAGCTATATGGGCCTGGAGGTTTCACTGTGAGAGGGAAGGTTCTTAACTATAATTCAGCTTTAAGTGTGCGAATCTTTAAAGTTTATTTTTGAGATAGGATCCTAGGCAGCCTAAGCTTGAAGTCTGGCATTGAGCTCCTCCAGATTCTACTTCCCATGTTCTGGGTTTTTCACAGGCAAATGGTCATACCCAGCTTGTATGTTACTAAACAAAACTCCTATTGTGTCTCAGTCCCTTTCTTGTGGTAAAATACTCTGTGGCAAAAGCAACTTAAGGAAGAAAGGGTTTAGTCCGGCTTATCCTGCAAGTGCACAGCCTCTCATGCCGAAAGAGGTCAAGGTGGCAGAGCTTACAGTGACTGGTGACAGGGTAACCTACGTCAGGAAGCAGAGGGCAAGGAGTGCACGCCGTGCTCAGTTCCTTTCTGACCAGGGAACAGCACTGGCCACAGTGGGCAAATCTTCCCACCTTAATCATTGCCATGGAGGGAACTCCCCACCTGACATGCCCGGAGGCTCATCTCCCAGGTGACCAGATTCTTCAAGTAGAAAGTAGCCACCAACCATCGCACTGTGTGTAATCACTGTGTCTACTTTGGGTTATCTGTTTCTCCTGGAGAGCACTCCATTCATCTGAGCCATTCAAAGTATCTATTCATTTATTCTGAATGATCAAACACATTGGCATAAAGTTGTTCGCACCACTCCTTCATCATCTTGTTGATACCCGCAAGATTCGTTCTTTACAGTACACAGTTCAATGAGCCAGGCGTGATGGTGCACAACTATGGCCCCAGCCCTGGGGAGGAGCTCCAGGTCAGCCTGGGATGTCTGTGGTTCTGAGTCAAAAAGTAAAAACAAAACAGTCCAGGAGAGAAGGTGCGGTGGAATTTGTGTGGACCTGGAAGGGAGAAGAGCCCTGTCGTGAAGCCACTGAGCTCTAAAGCATCCAGGATGTAGGTCAACCTCCCCACACACCCCAGGATGCTCTCAGACAGCAGCGGAACATCCTCCTCCAATCACATCTGGTGCTTGCCCTCACTGTAAGGTAGGAACTGGGAGCAGTTCCTTTGTAACTTGGCTCAGTTCATTGGCCAGATGCTGCCTCCATTGCTCTGTCTGTCCTGCGGCCTGCCTGGCATGAGGAGGAGTGGGAGAGGTGCAGTAAGGGACTCCCCGCCACCCGGCGGTAATCCCAGTCTTCCGTTCCAGCTTCGTGTTCCCGGAGACTCCAGAGTTTGGCATCCTTACCAGGATTATTTTACAAGCCATGTCTTTATCTTTAGTGAGCTCCTTTCTGCTCATATCTGTGGGCAAGAAGATTGCCAGCTTACATAACTACAGAACCAATTCCAACCAGGTGAGGGATTGTTCTCTGCTGTGAGCCTCACACCAACATTCATTACTCTTTAACGGGTCACCAGGACCATAATCTGACTGTAATCATATACGGGTTCTGAGAAGTGGACGATGTGTAACTCTGAACCCGCTTGAACTCATACAACACGTTATTCCCCTAGAACAGATATGGGGCAGAGAGGCAAAGGAATCAACCAGGTGGGGAGGCACATGCTTGCTGCCCCAGCACCAGGGAGGCAGATTGGCCAGTAGCCAGGCAGGAAGTAGAGGTGGGGCAATCAGGCAGGAAGTAGAGGCGGGACAACGAGAATTCTGGAAAGAGGGAAGTTTCAGTCTGCAGTCGTGACCCAGCTGCAGAGAAAGCAAAGTGTGACTACCTCGCCAGAAAAGGGACCAAGCCACGTGACTAAACAGACAAGAATTATGGACTAATATAAGTTATAAGAATTAATAAGAAGCCTACTAGTTAATAAGAGCTACTAGGCCAACCAGTTTATGATTAATGTAGACCTCTGTGTGTTTCCTGGGGACTGAGTGACTACAGAACCGGGTGGGACAGAAACCTCTGTCAACACTTCCCTGTGGCCGAGGAAGGCAGGTGCATGCTAGGGCACCAGCACCACGAGATCGCACACGGAACCAGGCTGCCTGTCACTACGACAATACCCTCCCTGCCTTTGGCCTTTGCTTTTATCTTTTAGGAAAAAAATTCTCCAACTACTCTGAAAGTGGTACTTTCTCAAAAAGTCAGGAGGGACACAGAAGCAAGTGGTGCCCCAGCCAGATACTTAGGTTAGTGTAGAGAAGGGAGAGGCCAGCACTGAGCTCTCTCTGTGTGTCTGAGTCCCAGGGGTCACGGGAAAGAGGAAAAGGCAAGCGTCAGTTTTATTACTTTCAGAAAGTACTTCCCTTACGGTCAGAGGCTAGGGCAGAGACCCAGCCTAATCTAGGTCAGATCAGCCCTCCCTGTACACTTCCTGAGGCTACATCCAAGTGCTGTCGGAAGGGCGTGTAAGAACCCTAACTTCAACCTCACAAAGCAGTGTGCCTCTAGCTCAAAATCAGATTCCTCAACAGAATGTGGGCTCAAAGGCTCTGCTGTCTCTCCACAGGATTTAATAGCCATCGGCCTTTGCAATGTGGTCAGCTCTTTTTTCAGATCGTGTGTGTTTACGGGAGCCGTGGCCAGGACTATTATCCAAGACAAATCTGGAGGAAGACAGCAGGTGTGTTGAAAGGGAATCCCGTCCCTAGTGTGTCCCCATAAGGCAAGAGATGTACATCTATCCCATGGCTGTCTGCATGTCTGTTTGCAGAAGGGCATTGTCTGGGTTGATTTCACTGTAATGTTCTAGTCAGTGGGAAGACTATGGGAAAAGTTTGGGTTCCACACTCACCTTAATTTTTGCTCATATTTTGTCTTAAAAGTTATTGGGGGGGGGGGTTGGAGAAATGGCTCAGCAGTTAATTGCTTCTTTCCCAGAGGACCTGAATTCAATTCCCAGGACCCACATGGCAGCTCACAATTGTCTGTGACTCCAGTTCCAGGGGATCTGGCATCCTCATAGACATACATGAAGGCAAAACACCAGTGCACATAAAATAAAAATAAATTATTTTTTTAAAAAGTTATTGGGAGAGGCACATGGTAGCATATGCCTGTAACCCCCAGCACTCATCTCCTGCCCTATTGGGGGTCTGGAGAGATGGCTCAATGGTTAAGAATACTTCTGCTCCTAGAGAGGACCCAGGCTTGATTCCCAGCATCCACATCAGGTGGCTCACAAACATCCGTAAGTTCGGTTTCGGGATATCCAGCATCATTGTCTGGACTCCTGGGGCACCAGGCATGCACATGGCGCAAATGCATGCATGCAGGCAAATTCTCATCCACATAAACTAAAAATCACCTTTAAAAAGATGAAACACACCGGATGTGGGGGTGCACACCTTTAATCCTAGCACTCAGGGAGCAGAAACAGGCGGATCTCTGAGAGTTAGAGACCAGAGCGATCTACAGAGGGAGTTCCAGGACAGCCAGGGCTACACCATGAGATCCTGTTTCAAATACAAAACAAAGAAAAGATGAAGCAGACTGAAGCTGGGAAGTTGTCAAAGCACCAGCAACACAGGGACAGATGGGGCCTTTATTTACCCAGGAGGTAAAATGGGTGGAACTTCGGGCTGCCAGCGAGGGGTCTGCTTGGGAGTGGAGTTTCTAGGTTGTGTGAGGAGAGGCTAAAGTTTTGAAGGAATAGGAGCCATATATCTTAGGAGAGCCATAGCCCTAAGCGGTGACAATAAAGATTATAGGGAAAACTGGAACTTTGCAGTCAGCAGTCACATGACACTTAAGAAGTACCTACTAAGTGTGGTACACTCCACTAAGATCCTAAAAGGCAGGTGTGCTCAACCCTCAACTCCTCCTAAGAAAAGCAAATGGCGCACTTCCCAGCAAACAGAAGGCCTCAGTTGCAGACAGGGAGCAGCACGCTCCTGACGGTTTCTCTCCAACCGGCTCTATCTCCTCAGTTTGCATCTCTGGTAGGCGCAGGTGTGATGGTGCTCCTGATGGCGAAGATGGGGAACTTCTTCCACAGCATGCCCAACGTAAGTGGCTGAGCGGCTCGAGGAAGTCAGGATGGGCGGGATCCAAGGCCAGCACCCACCTGGCAGCTTGCAACCTTCTATAATGAGTCCCCAGGGATTTGCTGCCCTCTTCTGGCCTCCTCAGGCACTTCATGCATGTGGCACACATACATACATGCAGGCAAACATGCATTCACATAAAAATAAATTCATCTTCAAAGGAAGAAAGATGGAATCTTGGTAGAGCGTTCCTGCAGAGAATTGTATTTGCCTGGTTCCCAATCTTTTTTCTTAAAATAATGACATCTTGGAGCCAGGGAGATGGCTCAGTGGGTAAGGGTGATTGATATTCAGCACCCATGGAAAAAGCAGGTGCGACTCTATGCACCTGTAAGCCCAGTGCTGGAAGGAGGTGGGCAGAGGCAGGAGGATTGCTGGAGCCTGATGACTAGCTAGCCTAGCTTTAAAAAAATGGTGAGTGGTGGCGCACGCCTGTAATCCCAGCACACAGGAGGCAGAGGCAGTCAGACCCCAGTGAGTTCAAGGCCAGCCTTGTCTACAAAGTAAGTTCCAGGACAGCCAGGACTGTTACACAGAGAAACCCTGTCTCGAAAAACCAACGGGAAAAAAAAATTGGTAAGCTTCTGGTTCAGTGAGAGACCTTGTTTAAGGAGAGTATGGAATATGGCGAGGAGTGATAGCAGGGCCTTTGAGGTTCTCCTCCGTCCTCTTACACTCGCGGACCAACTCAGACAGCGAAAATCATGGTAGTGTCTCCATTGTAAGTTAAACATTAAACATGATTGTTTGGGATCCATGTCTGTATGTAATACATGTATATATTCATGTAAAGCAAGATCATGCTAAACTCACAGTGAGTGGTCAAGAAAGAGTCACAACTGGTCTCACTGAGCTGCAAGCTCAGCTGTCAGTGTGGGGACTCTGTGAGTAATGACAGAGCCAGAGTCAGAAGCGTGAACCCCATTGCCAGTGAGACTCACTTAGCTGCTTCCAGAAGGCCTTTGTGTCTGCACTGGTCTCTCCATTGCTGTCACATGGCCTCTCGGTTATGCAGAGCATTAGGAAGACAGGCCTGCAGACTGACTCCTGCCTCTGTGTTCAGCTGCGTGTCTGCTTCAATGCATCTCTTCTTCCCTTTGCTTGAGACATGACCCGACCTTTAGCCATATTGTGTGTGTTTATTACACCTGTAAGCAAGTGACTCTAAGCAATCATACAGGCTGATGCCCAGATACACGGAACATAGCAGAATGTTAGCAGTGGCTGTCTCTTCAGTGATGGAAATAACAGAGACCAGGTATGGTAGCATACACTTGTAATTCTAGCACCCAGTATACAGAGGCAGGAGGATTGCCTGCTAGCCTGATCTATGTAGTGAGTTCCAAGGTATCCAGAGCTACACAGAGAGACCTTGTCTCAAAGAAACAAAATTTTTTAATGACATTATATAGGAATGCAATTAATTTTTAATGAAGCAAATGTTTCCCCTTAATATTCAGAAAGGACACAGCTTTGCCGTATGTGGCTTTACGATGAGATTTGTTTCCTAGGGCTATTCCTCGCCTCAGATTAAAAGAAAAAGAATCCAGTGAGGCGGTGGTGGCGCACACTGTGAGTCCCAGCACGTGGGAGGCAGATCGATGTCTGTGAGTTCGAGGCCAACCTGGTTTACCATGTGAATTTCAGGAAGGCCGGGGCTACACAGAGAAACCTTGTCTCCAAAAACAAAAAAACAAAAAAAAAAGGAAAAAATGAAAGAAAGAAAGAAAGAAAGAAAGGAAGGAAGGAAAAAAAGAAAGAAAGAAAGATGAAAGAAAGAAAAAGAATTCTACAGCCCCCTGTGAAGTTAAGATGCCTTCTTTTTCTGCAATTTCTGACACTGTTTTTTTTTGGGGGGGGGGGTTATTTACTTGTTATTTTGGTTTTTTCAAGATAGGATTTCTCTGTATAACAGCCCTCGCTGGCCTGGAACTCACAGAGACCCGCCTGCCTCTGCCTCTGCCTCTGCCTCTGCCTCTGCCTCTGCCTCTGCCTCTGCCTCTGCCTCTGCCTCTCGAGTGCTGGGATTGAAGACGTGCGCACCTTGCCTGTCAGACTTGACACACTATTGAGGAAACTGGGGAGAGACGGAAAGGGCTTTTTGTGTTTGAACCGTGAGCCAGACCTTGGGCGTGCTGTTCGTTTAAAAAAAATAAAATAAAACAAACTCACACAGCACTTGTAGAGGCGAGGCTAGATTTTGTGTTTCCTTTGTGCAGACTTGGGAATGCCATCCCTGAAATGAGAACAAGGCAGTTAGGGCGGTTCATCTTTCCCTCACAGGCTGTGCTGGCAGGGATCATCCTGAGCAATGTGATACCCTACCTCGAAACCATTTACTATTTACCCAGTCTGTGGAGGCAGGACCAGTACGACTGTGTGAGTACAGCTGCCAGGGGGTGGAGAGGTTGGGGGGAAGACGGATGGAGTTGGAACCTGCAGGGGGAACAGAACCAGCCGGAGCCGAGCTGCAGGCAGCATCGCTAAACATGTTAGAAGGGGCCGTCAAAGGATTCGTCTTTCAGTGCTCAAGAGCCTAGAACCTACGTAAGGAAGCTGGGCATTGTGACACACGCTCAGACTGCCAGGACTGGAAAGGCAGAGGCAGGGGGATCACTGGGGCTCGCTGGCCATCAGCCTAGCCTATGAGGAGCTCTAGGCCAATGAGACCCAGTCTGAAAAACACAAAGTATATGTAGTTCCTCTGGTCTCCACATGCAAACACACACGTGTATACTCACCTCTGCACACACCAACATGAGCACTCACATACATACACAAAAGAAATAAAATTTTAAGCCAGGCGGTAGTGGCGCACACCTTTAATCCCAGCACTCGGGAGGCAGAAGCAGGCAGATCTCTGTGAGTTCAAGGCCAGCCAGGTCTACAAGAGCTAGTTCCAGGACAGGCCCCAATGCTACAGAGAAACCCTGTCTCAAAAAACTAAACAAAACAAAACAAAATAGACTAAATATGCCTAATAACTATTACAGACATTTAACTATCATCCAGGAAAGAAATAAAGGGAAAGATGTCAGGAATGTATCAGAGAACATCCAGACAGCCTCGAGGGCCAAGTCTTCTGCGACAGGCTGGCACCTCTCCATCTGCTCATTTTCACGGTCTCCCTCCCCTCCACCCTTTCCCACAAGGTTGTTTGGATGGTGACATTCTCCTCCGCGATCTTCCTGGGATTGGACGTCGGACTGCTGATTTCCTTGGTCTTTGCCTTCTTCATCATCACTGTTCGTTCGCACAGGTACTCAGCCTCTGGGGGGTGGAGGACAGTCATGGCCAGGCAGGGCGCTGGGACCTAAGACAAGCCCATTTCCTTCCAGAACCAAGATCCTCGTCTTGGGTCAGATCCCCAACACCAACATTTACAGAAACATCAATGACTATCGGGAGGTAAGGAGCCAGCCCAGGTATGGGGGAGATGGCTCAGTGGATAAAGCCGGTGCCATGCATGTGTGAGGAGTTCACTTCCTCCGAGCTCACTGGGATCTCAGGCTTGGGAGGCAGGAGAGGACATCCCTGGGACAAACTGGGTATCTAGGCTCATTGAATCCTAGAGCTCTGGATTTCTGGGAGAGACTCTGCCTCAGTCAACAGTGGACAGCAATGGAGGACACCTCTTGACCTTAACCTCTGGCCTCCACACATGCACCCCCTACACATTAGTGTACACGCACACACACATGGAAGGGGGTGTGGAGAATGGTCAGCTCAACCCCAAACCCTTCACCAAGGCACTGCAGCCCACTCACGGGCAATGGGCTCCAGGGGACAGGTAGTGTCCACACCCCCTCCAGCCAGCAGGGGGCTCTCTCACCGTGGACTCCAGGGAGAAGAAGGCTAGATAGCAGTAAGACATGGAAGAGTACACCAAAGCAGGGGGTGGCAGCTATGGAGGTGTTTGCTTGCCTTGGACCTCAGCGTGCTGGGGCAGAGGCAAGCACAGCTCCAACTCTAGTTCCGAGCTAGCAAGAGGTACGTAGTGAGAAGAGAGAGAGAGCGCGCTAGGAGCTGAGGTGGTGATTTTCTAGCCCTCAACTCACTGAGGCCAGAAGTTCTCTTCCTCCCCCTCCCAGCCCTGCCCCTCTAGACAGAGTTTCTTTGGAGCCTGTTCTGGCTAGCCAGAACTCGCACTGTAGACCAGGCTGACCTCGAACTCACAGAGATCTGCCTGCCTCTGCTTCCCCAGTGCCAGGATTAAAGGTGTGCGCCACCACTGCCTGGCTAGGCCAGAAGCTCTTGAGGAGCCATTAAAGCTGTGTGGTTCTTACTCCCTGAAAGAGCAGAGGCCTGTGCCCCACCTCAGCGTGTCTTGCAGGCGATGCTCATCCCTGGGGTGAAAATCCTGCAGTGTTGCTGCTCCATCACGTTTGTCAATGTGTACAAACTGAAGCACAAGCTGCTAAAGGAGGTGAGGACCGCCCGCCAGGCACCCCTCACGCCCTGGGCCTCTGGCTCCACTGCCTGTTTCCTGTGTGAGCCCTCTTCTGTCTCCCAGGTCAACATGGTGAAGATACCTCTTAAAGAAGAAGAAATATTCACCCTCTTTAACGAAAGTTACACCAATTTATCGGAGAACAAGATCTGTAGGTGTTTCTGCGACTGTGAAGAGCTGGAGCCGGAGACCAGGGTGAGCCACGCCTGTCCTTCCTACTTCTCCACCCGTTTCCTGTAAAAAGGAAACAGCCATCCCCTTTAAGGAAAAAACAGTCCACTCCACACACACGAATGCACTAAATAGACTCTGGTTGTGGAGAGAGATCCATGAGAGGTTGGGAGTGATGGTGGGGGTAGAAGAGGAATTGGAGCGGAAGAATGTGGGGTGGGTCTGATCCCAACGACATAGTGTGTGTGTGTGTGTGTGTGTGTGTCTGTCTGTCTGTCTGTCTTTCTTCTTTTCTTTTTTTCTTGTTTTTCAAGACAGGGTTTCTCTGTGTGGCCCCGACTGTCCTAGAACTCACTCTGTAGACCAGGCTGTTCTTGAATCCAGAGATTGCCCTGCCTCTGCCTCCCAAATACTGGGAGGCAGGTAGTGAATCTTTTCACCAACTGGCTATCTTTTAATATTTTAATATTAATATTTAATAGTACATATATACACACATATATCACACACATGCACTTATGCTTGCATGCACTCAAGCACATATGTCAATGCACATATTTTTTTTTATTAATTTTTTTTGGCAGGACTCACTAAGTATCCCTGGCTGGCCTTGAACTCACAGAGATCCACCTGCTTTCTCCTCCCAAGTGCCAGAATTAAAGGTGTGCACCCCATTCCTTCCTACTGCCTCTGCCTCCCAAACGCTGGGATACCACCACACCCAGCTTGTTGTTGAGGTAGGATGTCACCGTGTAGTCCAGGCTGGTCTCAAGCTCACAGTGGTCATCCTGTGATATCACAAATCCTGGAATTACAGACGTGTGCACCACACCACACCGAATGGCTTTAAAGTTTAGCAGTCCATAGCTAAGCTTGTTTTGCTTACGTATTCAACCCCCAAAATGTGTAAGATTGGTTTAAAGCACTTCATGGGGTTTAAAATTGAATTAGGGAGTCAACTCTCCAGCAATTGACCTAAAGTCAGCATCTTCCACATTTCTGGTTTGTATAATCCGGCATAAAATTTTAATATTTTCTCCTTTCTAGATGGTAAATAGTGGTACAATTTGAATTTTTTATTTTTCAATTTATGTATATGTCTATGTGTATGCATATGTATGTGTATCATGTGTATGTTTGTGTGTCTATGATGTATGTATATATGTGTATATGTATGCATGTGTGTATATAGCATGTATGTATATATGTGTGTATGTATGTATCTATATGGATTGTGTGTATGATGCATATGTGTGTGTATATATCGTATATGTGTGTATGGTGTATTTGTCTGTGTATGGTGTGTGTGTGTATATGCATGTGTGTATATATGGTGTGTGCGTATGTAGGCACTTACACAGGTCAGAAAAGCATCAAATCCCCTGGAACTGGAGTCACAGATGATTGTGAGCCACCTGAACTAGATGCACGGAATTGAGCTCTGATCCTCTTCGGGGCAGCAGGTGCTTTTAACCACTGAGCCATGTCTCCATTTGGACTAGGAAAGTAACTAGGAGCAGTGCAGTACAGCAGCAGATGAGTTTGCGCCCCTGAGCAGTGTTTAGCTCCTCACAGCACAGGCAGCTCTGGTGTATAGAGAGTGGCAGGGGCTGCTGAGAGACTCTGACGCTAGTGCTGGCTCAGAAAACAGAGTTCTCTGTATCAGAGACTTGGCCAGGACCCTGAGGCTCTCAGTCAGGCACGATGCGGTGGAGGGTGAGGAAGAGGGGGCAGGGGAGTGATCACGAGTACAGTGACACTCCATTTGCAGAGGCCACGCTAGGACCGTGCACAGTGCGGCACCTCCTGCTCTCGGTGTCAGCTGCTCAGGTCTCTTGGGAGACTGGCGGAAGTCGTCAGAGATAAAGACAGGCTTCCCAGAAATGACCTGCTGTAGTCCTAAGAAGGCCGAGGAAAGACTGTTGCACACATGCAAGAAGGTGCTGAGGAAAGCCTGACAGAGCGTGTTACAGGTCTGAAGAAATGGCTCAGTCGCTGATTGACAGCACACACTGCTCTTCCTGAGGATCTGGGCTTGGTTTCCAGCACCCACAGAAGGTGGCTCACGACTGCCTGTAACTGAGTTCTAGGGGAGCTGTCACGTGATGTATTCAGCCTCATGTATATGCTGTATAATACATACATATGCATGTAAAAAGAAAGAAAGCACCTTACAGGAAGTCAATGAGGTAAAGCTTCAAAGGGGAGATGGGGGAGCTAGGGGACACACTGCCTTTGCCTTTGCCCCGCTTGAGCCTCACCAGGGTCCCGCCTTCCCCGTCATCCCAGGTCGTCTACACAGAGCGATATGAAAGCAAGCAGGAGCATGACCACTCGTCCATCAACCTGATCCGCTGCTTCTACCTGGGCAACATAGACACGAGCGAAACCACTTCCGAGGATCAAATCCCCTACACCGTGTCTTCCACGTCACAGAAAAACCTAGGGCAGAGCTATGAGGACGTGGAGAAGGCCTGGCTGCCCAGCAACGTCTCAAGGACCAGTTCACTGCCTCCGCCTGAGCCCTCAGAAAGCTTAGCGCAGAGTCGGTCCAGATCCGTCATCGTCCCTTACTCAGACTCAGGTGTGCAGTTCAGCACCCACACCATCATCCTGGACTTCTCCATGGTGCACTATGTGGACAATCAGGCTTCGGTTGTGTTAAGGCAGGTAAGTACCACAGAGACCTGGCCCTAGGCTCTGAACCCCTCCCACACATAGCCCCATCCCAGTGTAATTCTGTGAGTCATGGTGTTGCTCAGATCCTAGAGTGGGGACACCAAAGGTGGCGTAAAGTCAATCAGAATAAGAAGGAAATGAACCAGCCCTGGTCTGTGGAACTAGAGCAGTTAGTTCCCTAGACGTGGCTCATTCATTTCTCAAGGTTGGGGGCGGTGCTTCTTAATATCGCTGAGGCAGTATCTGTCCCACCCACTGTGGAACTCCAGGACAGCTATGGAGGACCAGACACCCCCTGCCTTCCCACCCTCCCCTACCCTCCACCTTTCAGCTGCTCCTGGCCCTGCCTATGGGGTGTCAAGAGGGTCCCCCTCCTCTACTCTCCGCAGAGCCTCTGCTTCTGGCACAGAGCAGGCAGCAAGGCTGCCTGGTTACCACGCTGGCTTTGGTGTTTTTCCTTTTCCTTTCAGACACTTCTCTCCGTCCCCCCCTTGCTCACAATAGCTCCCTCCCAGCCCCCATGGATCTGCCCACTGTGAGCTGCGCTCCTTTGATGGGCATGCCCTCCTTCTGACTTGGATCCGGGTTTATGAAACCTTCACACTCCTGAAGAAGTAAGCTTCTCTCTTAAGGGAGTCTGGCTCCTCTTTGAGCTGAGGCGTGAGAAGCTTTTCAAAGCCGGAAAACCTGTGACTGGCTGTGCAAGGCGGGCTCCCTAGGGTTCCTGAGCAAGCGCTGTCCCTCTGCACCTCATTCCTGAGATGCCCAGTGTCTGTTTCCTCAGCAGCAGCCCCTAAAAGTTAACATTGTGAGCGTCCCTAAGACTGGAGATGTGGCTCAGCTGGCAGAGCACTTGCCCAGCACGCTTGAAGCTCTGGGTTCCTTCCCCAGCACCAAAGAAACTGGTTGTGGTGGCACACACTTATAATCTCAGTGCCTGGGGATGGAGGCAAGACATTTGGTGGCTCAAGATCATTGCCAGTCACTTAGTGAGTTTAGGCCTGAGATCCTCCTTTACTTTTATTTATTTTGTTTGTTTTTCAAGACAGGGTTTCTCTGGGTAGTCCTGGCTATCCTAGAACTAGCTCTGTAGACCAGACTGGCCTTGAACTCAGAGATCTGCCTGCCACTTCCTCCTGAGAGCTGGGAATAAAGGTGTGTGCCACCACTGCCCAGCAAGATCCCTTTTAAATCCCTTTTAAATACCCCTTTTGCCACTTTTTTTAGCCCTGGCTGTCCTGGAACTTGCTTTGTAGACCAGGCTGACTTTGAACTCTCAAAAATCTGCCTCTCTCTCTCTCTCTCTCTCTCTCTCTCTCTCTTTCTCATTTTCTTATTTAGATAGGGTCTCACACTGTGTAGCACTGGCTGGTCTGGAACTCTGGAACTCACTATGTAGGCCTACCAGACTGGCCTGCTTCTGTCTTCCAAGTACCGGTGTTAAGTGTGTGCTCCACCACGCCCAGCCCTCACCACCCGTTTAGATCCAAATGTATTTGATGTGGTCTCTTTTCCAAACTTTCCATCGTAGGCCTTTGCACGGGACCAGGCTGCCTTCCTCTCTTCTGGTGCTATACTGATTCCTTTAGAGTGACTGAGGTCACATGATCAGATGCAGCCTGCAGGATGGCTGCTCCACATACGCACACCTTTGCCTTCCATCCTTCCAGCAGCCCCCATAACAGCCCTGTTTGGAAAAGTCCACGGCTTGGTGCTTCGGAACTTCAAGCATCTGGCTTTTCCTGGCTCTTCTCATCTCCCCTCTCTCGCACCCACACCTGACCCACACAGGAGGCCTTCTGGTCTAGGCAAGCCAGGATCCTCTGCCTTACTGCTGTGAGACGCATGGTCCACAGCTCTGTCCTGCAGTTTAGGCTTCCTCATGCTTCTGCAACCGTCCTGTGCATTTCTCACTGTAGGAATTTTTTATGGTCCACTTGCCCTAAATAAAGAACATGGGGTGGAGAGATGGCTCGGTGGTTAAAAGCACTAGCAGCTCTTCCAAAGGTTGCAGGTTCAGTTCCCAGCACCTACATGGCAGCTTACAACTGTCTGTAACTCCAGTTCCAAAGGGCTGAATGTCCTCTCTGCCTTTTTGAGCACCAGGCACACCCTGCAGACATACAGACTCACACACATGACTAAAAATACATCTTTTTTTGCAAGGAGGGTAACTCTTTGTAACCACTCTCTAGGATGTTCCCAAGAGCATCCTCGCCCCATCTATCCTGAGCTGCCTCATGTAAACATCATCATGGGAACCGTCTTCCTGTTTAGGTTTTAAGCACCCCTCCCCATCACTCCCCACCCACATGAGATGCACTGATGGGTATTTGTGTTCCAAGCCGTGGTACTCAAAGGCCCACTCACCCAATGCTCCTAGGCTTGGAAGGAAAAAGTAGTGAGCGGCTGATGAGGCATTAGACCCAGTCAGTGGGTCATTTCTGGGGTGCATGCAGTGCTCTCACTCAGGCTATCTCTCTCCCTGCAGATATGCAATGCCTTCCACAATGCCAACATTTTGGTGCTCATTTCGGGGTGTCACAGTGAGTACCCTTCCGCCGTGAGAGATTGTATGTCTCGTCCCCCAGTGCTCTGCTCCAAGGCGCTGACACCTGTGTGTCTGGCTTTGGTTTGTAGCCTCTGTGGTCAAGTCATTGGAGAAGAATGACTTCTTTGACCAAGGCATCACGAAGGCCCAGCTCTTCCTCAGCCTCCACGACGCAGTGCTGTTTGCCTTATCAAGGAAGATGCCCGAGCCCTCGGAGTTAAGCATGGATGCAGCTGAGACAGTGATACATGAAACCTACTCGGAGTCAGACAAGGTAGGATGCTGTGGAGCCTCAGGGCTGGGGGAGAAGTGGGGAGAGGGGGGTGTCTGAGGAGAGGTAAAGGGTGTTCACGGAAGGCTGGGCTGCACCTGTGCCAGAAGCTGACGCAGAGCAAGCTCTGGGACCAGTCATGAATGGCAGAGACTGCCACAGCCCCTGGTGTCCCATGCAGGACCCCCACCCCAGCCGGCCCAGCAGAGGCCTCAGGTATCCTCATCCATCGCCCTATGGCTAGTGTCACACCAATTGCTAGAGATCTGAGATCCTCGCCTGGCCATCCAGACCCTAGAGCCTCCCTTACCACCACCTCCAGAGGAGTCTTAAATCTGATGAGTAGAAGCCATGTCTGCCCTCCCAGGACTTGGGTGATTATTTACATTGTGGGTAATGAGGATTCATGACCAGATACAAGAGAGGAGGACACATACATCCACAGTCTGAACCATTTCTTAACCCTAAATAGAGACCTGAGTGGGCTTTGGGCTTCCCAGATCAGAGTCCGCAGGGAAATTAAAACATGGATAGGCGCGCAGTGTTATCTAATGGTCGGGAATTATTTTTCAGTCGACATTTTTGTTTCTGACCCGCTGGGCTTTAATAGTTTGCATTTTTATGACAAGAAAAATGTACCGCGATAAGGTTTTTAAAATAATTGGAGAAGTGAAAAATACACAGACTGATAGAACCCAGCTCTTCTTCATCCCCCTCCCCCGGGCTTTGCTGAGGTGTCTCACAGGTCTTGTGCCTCATTTTTCCAGAACAGTTTTCTTCCCTGTCACCGAGATCAGAACGTAGGGCTTCTGGTTTGTTCTGCCACCCACTCGTGTTTATAAACCTGCCCGGAGCAAGAATTCTCCTGAGGACTGGCAAGATGACTCAGTGGGCAAAGGCAGTGTCGTGGCATTGGCATCCACTGGGAAAGACTGTAGTTTAGACTGATGAATTCATTCCTAATGCTAGCAGAGAGACAGCAACCTGAGAGCCAAAACAGCACTGTGTGCGGAAGGGAGCTCAAGGCAAGGTTTGTAAAGGTGGATATCAGAGGTGCACGTCACACCATCTGCGGCATCCACGGCTGGGCAAGAGGACTGGTTTCTTCTTCCCACTGCATGGTCATAAAAAGACCTCTGCACTTCATTCCCACCCCACAGGATTGGGCGAATTCACAAAAGCAGGAAGCAATGGTTAAATGCCTCTCAGTGGGGATGCCATTGTCCCCTTTTTCTTGGTTATTTGTTGTTTGTTTTGAGACCCGTTTCTCTGTGTAGCCCTGGCTAACCTGGAAGTTGCTCTGTAGATCAGGCTGACTCTGGTTCTGGGGCCAACACTGCCTGACTTCATTATTCTATTCGAATCTCACAGGCATTCAAGGGCAAAGGTCAACAGCCCTTAAGGGCTGCCTGGTACCACGTGAAGTTTCTTTAGCATCAAAGGGGCATTATGTGTAAATTATTACACAGGACTGTGCACTCTGGGGGAAGTGTCTCTAGTGGCTGGGGTAGAGCAGGCGGTGACAGAGTGCCATCAGGCTCAGGCCACAGCACTCACTGCCAAGCCTGGCGACCTGAGTTCTATCGCTGACCCACACGGTATTAAGTTCCAACATCAGTCTTGAAGGCCAGACAAATGTTAGCACCTGCTGACCTCTATTGAGTAAGCCTTCCCCAATTCTCCGGCTTGAGAAACTATTTTCACATAAACATTTTGTGAAAACGTTTATAGCTTAAACGTTATAGCTTGTTGTTGCTTCGTTGTTCTGCTGGCACCATGCTGTTTTGATCAGCGTCACTTTAGAATACATTTGAACACTGGTTAAGAAGTCTCGGGTTATCAGCATTCTAGTTTCCAATTTCCTAACTCATTATTACCATTATTCTTCAGGCTCCGTCCTGTCCTCAGAGAGGCAAACAAAATCCCTGTCAAGGTTTCCCCGAGAATCACCCCAAAATACAGAGGAGGTTGAGATGTGTATTGTTCCACTTTCCTTTCTTTCTGGGCGCGGGTTCTCTGCATTCGTTCAGTCTCCTAGCATTGCAGTGACAGGAAGGTGGCTAGCTCCAGAGACAAATCCCCTGGTGCAGGAGTTCTAAGGACTGTGTGCCACCTGATGTGTGTGCCAGGAGCAGACTCAGGTCCCTCAGGAAGAGACCAGTGCTCTCACTGCTGAGCTGCCATGCCCCGCTTTACTTTTTTTTTTTTTTTTGTTAATTGCCTTTCAGAACAAGTCTTCGCCGCCTGGGTGTGCTGGTTCACTTATAACCCGCCTGCTCAGGAAGCTGAGGCAGGAGGATCACCTAAGCTCACAAGTTTGTCAGCAGCCTGGACAGTATAGCAAGACTGTCCTTCCCAATCCCAAACTAAAACCACAGTAAAAGTAACTTTATTCTGCACCAAATGCTCCAATAGACAGCTATGCAAAGCAGGCAGCGGAAAACCCAAAGGACAGGAAAGGGTAAAGTTTAAAAATTATTTGACCAACTTTCTGGAGAGTTCTACCAGTCATGAGAGGGTTCACTATTATTTCTCATGGATTTTCTTTATTAAAAAAAATTACAAAGTTATCAAGAAGGCTCAGCAAGTAAAGGCACTTATCACTCCAAACCTGCCAACCAGAGTTCAGTCCCCAGGACCCACGTGGTGGAGGGAGAGAACTGACTCTCTCGAGTGTCCTCTGACTTCCACATGTGTGCCCACTCACACACCTGTGTCTCCTTACACACCTGTGTCTACCCACACATCTGTGCCCACCCACACACCTGTGTCTTCCCACACACCTGTGTCTACCCACACACCTGTGCCCACCCACACACCTGTGTCTCCCCACACACCTGTGTCTCCCCACACACCTGTGTCTCCCCACACACCTGTGCCCACCCACACCACACATGTGCCCCCACATACCACACATGTGCCCCCACACACATCTGTGCCCATACACACCACACATGTGCCCACCCACACCACACATGTGCCCACCCACACACCACACATGTGCCCCACATACACTATACATGTGCCCCTACATGCCCCCCACACCTGTGCCCACACACACACCTGTGCCCACACAAGTGCACACACACACATGCCTGCCCATGTGCCCCCACATATACACACTCACAAATATGTAATAGTTTTTTATTTACTAGCACTTATCCACTATTTCCTTTGATAGTACATCCTGTTGCTGAAGTCAGGGTCCCCAAAACAAGGGGAGCAGGAGTGATAGGTCTTGCTTTGTTGCTGGATTGATGGGAGAAGCTGCTGGAGTGTGTGCCCTAAGTCTGGAGTGAGTGTGGCTTCTGTTGGGCATCATCACCAACGTCCTTTAACAAGCACCTCTCTGCTCGCCTGACATTAAGGGCCTGGAGCAATGGCTCTGCGGTTAAGAGCATGCAGGTGCTGGGAATTGAACCAGGGTCCTCTGGAAGAGCAGTCAGTGCTGTGTTCTGAAACCCTTGACTGCTTGGAAGTGGAATTCACTGGCAAGTCTTAACCCTCCAAATGTGTGTTGTTTCAGAATGGGAATCAGAGACATCAAACCGGCGGTAGCATCTTAGAAGCTCCCCAACGTGCAGGCTCAAACTATATCAAGACCCACCAGCCCATCAAGGATGATTTGGATTTTGACCTGAACCTGGATTCTGGACAGAACAGTGGGCTGGGGCTCAATCTGGACCTGAACCTGGACTTGGACCAGGAGTCAGAGTTGGACCCTGAGTCTGAGCTGGAGTCTGAGATCCAAACCAGATCTGATCTGGAGACAGAGCTAGAGACAGAGGCCCAGACAGAGCCTGAAATGGAGGAAGAGCCAGAGCCAGAGCTGGAGTCAGAGAAAGAGAGGAGGCCCCAGCCTAGGACCCGGATCAGGGCTTACAGCCCCTGGCGGAACTACTTCACTGCCTATCGCTTTGGGAGTTCGAGCTCCCAGTCTCGTATTCCATCTCAGGCACCTTCAGAGGAGAAGAAACAGCCGCGTGCTCATCCAAACTCACCCCACGGTGATGAGGACACTTGGTAGGTGAACTGGGAAGAGAGAGCAGGCGGATTATTTTGGCAAATCCTCCCTGCCCAAAGGCACCACTGGGGCATGAGATCTAGACTGGGTACAAGCTACCCGTTCTGGCTCTGTAACCCTGCACCTGCTGACTTCCTTCTTTCTGGGTTACGGGATCACATGCCCATCACATACCCAGGCTGCGTGACTCAGGGTCCACAGTTGTCTCAGAGGTCTGTCCCCAGGAGTCCCAGTCTTCACCTTCCCTGCACACACTCCACGTCTCTGCCAACTGTGCCAGATTGTCTCTGACTACCTCCTCTCCTCTCCGTCCCCCTTTCTCCAAAGAAATGAGGCTCAAATAAAATATGTGACTATACTTAAAACATTCAGACTTTTCCTGCCTGTCTCTGTATCACACAACCCTGAAGAAATGCCAGGTGGGAGGGACGCCAGAAGGGAGCCAGCAAAAGAAAACCCAGGCAATATCTGGAGCTGACATGCAGGAAAATATTGCCACCATCCAGAGGGGCCGGGCAAAGGTAAGCTGGCCTTCAGGCCTGGAGCACTAGGACCTGCTTAGCAGACAGCGCTTTTGCCATCCCGCTTTCCCTACTTCTGGCTTCACAGTCATCCAGAGGCTCCCGCGGCAGTGGACGGTGACAGCCATTACCAGATTCTCTAGTCTGGACAATGCACTCAGCTACAACTGCTTTTTCTTACAGGTTTTCCAAGCCAGCCTGGAGCCATTACCAGACTTAGTTTAAAATGTGTGATGGGTGGGAACAGTGGCTCAGCAGTTTCTAGCACTGACTGCTCTTGAAGAGGACCGGAGTTCAGTTCCTAGCACCTACACTGGGTGATTCCCCAGGGCATGGAACTCCAATTCCAGTGAATCTGATGCCCTCTTCTGGTACCCAAGGACACTACATACACGTGGTGTACATACAGACAAGCAGGCACACATACACATTAAGAAAAAAATAAACCTAGCTGGGCACACCTTTAATCCCAGAGGCAGAGGCAGATGGATCTCTGTGAGTTCGAAGCCAGTCTGGTCTACAGAGTGGGTTCCAGGACAGCCAGGGCTGCACAGAGAAACATTGTTCCAAAAAAAAAAAAAAAAAAGATAAAATTTAAAACTGACAGATACAAGCCCCACCCCCAGGACTAGGAAAAGTCATTCTAGTTTTATTCAAATCCCCTTAAAGTTTCTTTGTTTCTCGATTAAAAATAGCTAGTAACAAGGTAAGCCTAGAAGAGACGGCAGATCCACCATCCGTACCCTTTACTTCTGGTCAACAAGCGTGACTTCTCTGCGTTCTCAGTTTCTCTTGTTGGCAGGTGAAAGATGCCTTGGGGTGATGGAATTGGCTCAGGGAAGAGCACCTGATGAAGCACCAACGCCTGTATGCAGCTCTCCAGCACCCACAAAAACAGCTGGGCCTTGGGCATGTCATGCCTGCAACCCCATCAGCACAGGGTACTGTCTCACTGGTCACCAGCCTAGCCAAACATGTCCAGCTCCAGATGAATGGAGAGACTGTTTCAACAGGGGAAGGACACCCAGTGCCTTCCTCTGCCCTCTGCACTATGTGTTCACGTGCACATGAATATACAGACACACCTAATCACAGAGACTACACATGTGTCCCCTCAGTCTGGCACAAGATTCATCCTTTTGTCATGTTGTGCTAGGTATTGTCCCCAGAACTGAAGCTGAAGGGTGAAGATAACAGGCAGCAATTACAAACTGTCGTAAATGCCCCCCAGGAGGTGGCTAGGCAGTAATGTCTTTCCTGGGAGTGGTGGCACAGTCTGCAACCTCAGCCCCAAGGAAGCATGGACAGGTGCATGGCTGGGCTCACTGGCCGGCCAGCCTAGCCTACTTAGTCAGTTCCAGGAAAAAAAAAAAAAAAGGGTGATGGCACTTGCAGAATGACAGCCAAAATTGTCTTCCTGCCTCTGCACACACCTGCACATACATATTCACCTGCACACACGTGCACACATACATACATGAACACACACATACAGATACATATGCACAAAATTATCTCTATGTTTTGTAACAAATGAATGAGTCACGGAGATGGCTCAGTCACAAGCACAGGACCTGAGTTTCATTCCTAGAGCCCATATTGAAAAAAAAAAAAAAAAAGCTGAGCATGGTGGCTCACATCTGTGATCCCTCCCAGTACTGGGGAGGCAGAGGTGGGAGGAGTCCTGGGGGCCAGGCCCGCCAGTCTAGCCTAGCAGAGAGTTCAGACTAACGAGAGCGAGACCCTGTCTCAAAAAAAGAAAGAAGGTAGACAGAACAAGAGGACTGACACCTGAAGATGACCTTGTGCACACGTATGCTTTTGTACCCATGTGTGCAAGCACATGCACACGCGCGCATACACACACACACGCAAATTAGGAAGTGCTTTGATAAAATAACCCACCTCCTAGACTGGGAGCCGTGCCTAAGGAGACAAAAGCATGTACCGCTCTTCCAGAGACCTGGATCCAGTTACCTGGCACTCACGCCCTCACCTGGCCTCCGAGAGTACTTGCACACACGTGCACATGTATACACATAAGCACACACATATAATTAAAAATAAGTAAGTATCTTACCCTACGTACTTTTTTCTTGTGGAGATTAAGAAAAGCCACCTGGACCAGGCATTGGTGGCGCGCGCCTTTAATCCCAGCCCAAGGGAGGCAGAGGGACGTGGAGCTCTGTGAATTCAAGGTCAGCCTGCTTTACAAAGTGAGTTCCAGGACAGCCAGAGCTGCACAGTGAAACCCTGTTTCAAACCTGTTTCAAAAAAAATCAAAAGAGAAGAAAGGAAGGAGGGAGGGAGGGAGGGAGGGAGGGAGGGAGGGAGGAGAGAGAGAGAGAGAGAAAGAAAGAAAGAAAGAAAGAAAGAAAGAAAGAAAGTCAAGTCACCTGGGACACGTTCTGGCCCTGCTACACCCACCCCAAGCCCCCTCTGCAGTTCCCAGGTCTGCATGTTTTTCCCACAGTCCTTTCTTCATTAGTGGACTTGAACTACCAGGGATCAGCAGAAACTGTGGCCATCCTCCCCTCACCCTCTCCAGCTTCCTAGGACTCCCCAGTGTACGTCTGCCTTCCTGGCCCAGGGAGGCTGTTCTTGATCAAGCTGTGGTATCAGCCTTGGCCTCCAGACATCTTCACTCAAGGGGTGAGCCAGCGCTTCCGTGTACTGAGCCTTACACTTTCCTGGGAGGTCCCGGGATTAGCCCTTTCTCTGGAGGAGATCCTGATCTGGGGGAGGGGCAGCACACCACACAAGACTAGACTGTGGGATGCCCTGACAAGAATGTTTGACAAGCATCATAGAGAATGGGAGTGAGGGCCAGGGAGGTAGGACAGGACTCTGTCACACCCTCTGCTGGAGAAGTCTCGGATAAAGGACTTACAGGAAATGTGGTTGGAGGACAGATACCTGTGAGGTCCTTAAAGGTTTCATCCACTGAGACGCACCCACTGGTTTTCATTCTTTCTTAGTGGCTGGTCTCTGTGACATCCTCACGCCTCTGCCATAAGGATGCACACTAGTTTACCCTGTGTCCTTCTCCCCCAAGGAACATAATGCCTTCCATAGTGACTTCCAGCAGGCCAAAACAATGAGCCTTATTTGCTGGCCCTTTGCCACATGCCAGCTCTGGTCAAAACACTTTGTAAAACTGAGCACAATGTGCACAAAATTCCCAAGAGTTAGGGTGGCTATTCCCCAGTCTTCCTTCTAAGGAGCAAATAGCCCGGGCTTCTACTGAAGAAGGCCTCTCAGCTCTGCCGTTTGACCCATTGTTTAGTGTTCGCCACAGCGGAGGTCCAAGGTGAGTCCAATATGCAAATTTCTGGTCAGGTAAAAGGGAAGGGTTGTGTTACCAAAGGGGGAGGGTGAAGGGTTGGCACTAGAGACACATCCTGTTTGCATAGGATGGCATAGACTGTACAAACGCTGTGTATGCTCATTGCCCACTGCCTGTCACTGAGATGGGCTGACTGTCCCTTTATCCAGAGGAAGAGTCTCAGACAGGATTGTGCCCACTGTCTCATAGAATCCGTACCCAGCTTGGACTCCAGTTATCAGAGCGTCACTCTTGGTGACCGCTCCCTTTGGTAGTAAAAGATGCCTTTGACAGCTCTGGACACAGTTGGCTGCCACCTTATTTGTTTGAGATGACCTTTGCACTGGCCTGGAACTCATCAAGTAGGTGAGGCTGGTTGACCAGTGAGCCCCAGGAACTGGGATTACAAGTATCCATCCCTTCCAGCCTTTTCTTCCTCCTCCTTCCCTTCTCTCCCTCCCTCCCTTTTTTTTCCTTCTTCTTATGCATATGGGTTTTTTGACTGCATGTATGTCTATGCACCACATGTGTGCCTGGTACCCAGGGAAGTCAGAAGAAGGCATTGGATTCCCTAGAACTGGAGTTACTGATGGTTGTGAGCAGAGGTATGGGTACTCCAGGTCTCCTGGAAGAGCAGACACACACTTATATATTTTCTTTTTATCAAGACAGGCTTTCTCTGTTTAGCTTTGGAGCCTTTCCTGGAACTTACTCTGTAGATCAGACTGGCCTTGAACTCACAGAGATCCACCTGCCTCAGCTTCCCGAGTACTGGCCTCAAAGGCCTGCACTACCACCAGCGGGGGAAAAACCCATTTATGATAATTGGCTTGAATGTGGCTTGGAGCCAGCTAAGGAAATATAGTGCAGAGTCTACCTGTTGTCTGTGGCCTACTCTGAGAGGGATTGTGATTCTGGGACTTGAGTGGAGTCAACCCATCGTTCATGCCATGCTCATGGCACAGTCTAGAACTTCCGAGAGCTGAGGGAACGGGCCATCGGAGTTGCATTCTGCCTGCCTATTAGTACGATTTGCCATCTGCAGCCGGTTTCCGTGGTGCAGCAGTGAAGCTGTTACAGAAGCAAATCCTCCCTGTGGCTAGTCTCCCCTTGGCTATTCTCTGCTCTCCTCCACCCTGCTGGGCCTGGAAGGTTGCCCTGGAGGACTTCAAACTCTAACTTCAGGTGGGTTAGCAGTGGGAGCCACTGTCTGAGAGAATGCAAGGCGAAAGACACTGGGCGTTTATTTTCCAGCTGTGCGGATCAAAGGGCACAGCTGTTATTGTTACTGGAGTTGTCAGAGCAGAGCCTGGGTGCTGGCAGCCCCAGCGAGACAGTCTC